AGCAAGTCAGGACTAGTTATTTTACTAATCTCTTGAATACCCATAGTATTTTGAGGAAAATACTGCAGTGTAAAAATACCTTGCATTTATCTGTATGTATTGAACTGGAATCTCATTTATGTCAAGTTCTCTTTTGCATCACTTTGGTCTTGGAGAGAGGCTCTGCCCTTATTACACTAGCATGTGTTTAAGGATCTCCATGTATCACTAGAAGGGTGTAAAAGAAACTTCAGTCTTCCTTGGTGCTCTGAGAGGAATTGTTCCTATTTTGTTAGTGTTTCACAAACCAATTTGTGAGAAACAGCTCAGTGAGTGTTCTAGATGCAATTGTACTGTTTTTTGCCTCACTGTGTCTCATGGAAATTAAAAGGAAATACAGGTAAAATAGCTGTTGTCATGGTTTTAGCAAGGGATTTGAACACCAGGAGAAGACTGACTCCAATTCACTTTGTCCTTGAAAAAATAGAACAGACTATAGAATAGAATAGAATAGTGATTGCCAAAGGCAGTGACCCTGACAAGTCCCTGGGTGACTCCTCAGGAAAATAATGAGTTCTCTGAAAAATACTGTTATTTCAACATCAGGGAAGCTAGAATGCTTCATTTTTTTAAAGGGGTATCTTTTTTGCTTCAGTAACTTAAACTATAAGCTACTATCTCAGTAGAGTTTAGGGAATATTTCCTAAGTAAGTGCTCTTGTCATTGGAATGGTTTCCTGCAGAAAGATATGCAGCATCGGATCGTCTTAGTCAAGGTGCATCCCTTTTTCAGCTCCTAAGTGTCTTAACAGAGCAAAAATATGGATATGGACATTTTTCCCCCCCAAAAAAACTTATAACTAGTTGTAATAGTTATTCCATGTTTGGAATGAAATGTGTCTGCAGTCTTTCTTAAAACAATAACTTGGAATTCATTCTGAGCCATAAGCACTGATGATCTCTCACTGCCAGCCTTTCATGCACACAAAGAAATGAAGACATTAACTTTTTCTTCCTCTTGTTTTGCAGGAAAGTTTGTTCACCCAGAAATACTCCAGCTTGTATCTCTGATTAACACAGAAAGGAATAAAAAAATAGCTGCTACATGTCATCCGCATTCCTGAGGTGTTCCTAAACACTGTAACTATATTAAAATATGTTTGTTTTACATTGTCTGGTGTTTGTCTCTCTCATAACATTGCTAATTCTGCCAGCAGATCTTTTTCTCCGTGCATTCACTGCTGCAAATCATGGGACCACTTGCATAGGTGCAAAGCTCAGAGATTGTGTTAAGGACCAGATATTTAGAATGAGGGGTTTTGCTGTTGTTTCAATCAGCTTTCATGGATGTAGTCTCACAAATAATTTCTCCACTGGCAAAGTTCAGGTAAGTTTGAAACCTATCTGATGGCAGACAAATGAGTTCATCTAATGCACTGACTGGGACTGGTAGTCAGTCTTGTGATGTCTAAGTGTGTGTGGATTTAACACATAGCTGTGTGAGATGGGTTTGTAGCTGTTCACTAGATGAAAGCAAGACCAATGGCCATGCTTGTCTAAGCTTGGCAAGAGCTTCCAGAGATGAGATTTGTTTCGGTTTTTTTAGGTGTGCCATCCTGAAGAATTGATGATGGACAAAATTGCGGTGATCAAATTAATTACGTTTTCCGAATACATTCATTGTTTCATGCAGTTCTTATACTGCTGTTTTGTAGTATCGAGGAGTGGTGCTGAGGTTTATGTTAAGACTTGTATGCCTTATGCCTCACATTAAACTGGTAACCTTACAGACACTTGCAGAGGCAGTTGATAACTAAGGTTGGAAGAGGCCTTTGGAGATTGTGCAGTCTAATGCTAATGCATGTACTACAATGTAAAACTCATCTTCCCTTGTTCAAGCTTTTCAAGTTTGTTACAGATTACATTTGCTAATGGAAATAATGATGCCAAACTATGCAACCTGATCTAGAGGGAGGTGTTCTTGCCTATATAAGGGGGGTTGAACTAAATGATCTTTGAGATCCCTTCCAACCCAAACCATTCTATGATTTGATGGCTATTGTATAAAGCTGTAGTGATGTTAAATACCCAAAGAACACAAATGTATGTGTTATTAACTGTTGCATCAGGAATGCAGCTTGAGTTTAAGGGGACATTCCAATTACCAGATAATGAAAGTTCGCATTTGGAAAAGTTATGGTAGGACTTACAGCTATCTTTTCTCCTTACCTTCAGCTTCGTGTCAGATGAGGCAGCATAAAACTAAATTGTAATCCTTTTTTAAGGCAGGTAAGTTAGCTGAGTGGATGTCTTCAGGTGATGTGACTCCAGGAGATTCCACTTTACACAAACCTTAGGGGCCTGATGAGAGCTTGCACTGTGTTCTGCAGTTGATGCCTTTGGCGGACACACAGACTGTTTCACTCAGGGGCCAGGAGATTTTGCCTTAAGCAACCTGCACAGAGCTCAAAATCTGCAGAGTATCTTGGGCTAGAGGAGGTGTGAGATGCCTGCTCTGCTCAGGGTACCTCCCTAGAGCAGCAGTTGTGCCCTGTGGAGATGCTGAAAGAACAGGTACAGTTTACTGAGCAACAGGCAGCTGATTAGTAGTCAATTGATTGTCATAGCTGATTGTCATGCTGCAGGAATGGGTCCCACAGGGCTTTGTGCAGGGCCTACCATTCTCCAGCATTTGTAGTCCACCAAGATATGTACAATCATAGTCTTTATTGAATGCCAAGCCTAAAAGAGCTGTAGATGCTTTGGAGAGTAGACTTGAGACAATGCTGACAAAGAAGAGAAGTAGTCCTGAAAAGGTGGTTGATGAGAACGCGCAGCAGGTGCTGCCCCAGAAGGAACAGTCGGTTCTTCCAATGCAGCCAGAGGTTTTCCTGGCTGGCAATGCACAGTGCTGCTGGGGATGCAGGAATGAAAGTCTTTAAATTGTTCTCTTTATGAATGCAGCCAGAAAACAATCTACTGCTTTCCTCTAAACATTTTTGTTGTGTATGTATGTACATGTAAAAATACATGGAGGGTTAAATCCCTATCCTGAGCTTGGGCTCTGTGTTTTAACTTTGGTGTGCCTTTTGACCCTGTTCAAAAGGTGAATACTTTCAGATGCTCTCTGCCACGTATTTCAGCTTTACTGAATGCTTTCAACCATTCTGTCCTTCAAAGAGCAAAATTTTCAAAACCTGGGCCACAGATTTTCATGGAGAATTTCAGATTTGGAAAGAAGTAGACATTTAAAAACTAGAGGGATGGCTGATGATAAACTCACATCATAGCTCAATACCCTCCTGCAACAGCAAGGCTTAGGCAAGGGATATATGGTGTTACTGGTGAATAAAGGGAATTAAAGAGGAAACACCACCGAGTAAAAGAGTAAGAGAAATTTATTTTTAATAAGAATATCAATGACATCATTTACACAAACTAAATGGCCATTAATACTTTTATGTTAATTAATTCATCTTTATGCACAAAACCACTGCAACATAAGCTAGCAATCTATCACAGAAAAACTGTACTAGAAACCTAATTCAATTTACTTCCATGCTAAAAATCGTATTGAAGAGGCATTTGAGATAAGTGTCCAAAGTTCATAATGTTCTACCAGACAGAAGTTAAAGGATTTCTAGCTGTCAAAACTATAACAAAAGCCACATTGAAAAAACACAGTTTCCTCACAAGATTTTAAGCAGTCTGTAACATCAAACTCACTAACGCTGATCTGAAGTTTTGGCTTAAGCTCAAAACAAGCATCCATTTTGAAAGTGGCCAGACTGTTTTCCATTTTGTTTATCCTTTTGAAGAAGCTGTGCTCATCGCAGTCTGGTGAACTGAGCAATGCGACATGCAGACTGACAAGTGCTCATTAAGACAGCAAGATATTGCCACAAGTGTGCTGCTCTTTTCTTGAAGAAACGTTAAGAAGATGCAAGAAAACATGCTGAATCAAAGCTCAGAGAGATGACTGGCTCTCGGTGATTAAGTAGATATAATGTAGTTGGGATGCCCCAGAAAGAAGGACAAAATTTGGGACAAGAAATACCTGCTCATTGTGTGTAAGAAATGAGTTTCAAGCTAGCAGCTCTGAAATGTGGACTGAAGGCATGAGCTCTCTATCTTATGGCACATCTTTAATCAGTTGCTGGAATTTATTCTTTCGCATAAGGCTGTATCTTGACTGAAACTTGTGCTTTTCAGTCATAAATAATTTACCTTCCCTTCTTTTTGAAGGGAAGATATGGAGGCAACGTTATTGGAGGCTCCTTCCCCCTCCCCACTTCCCTTTTTAATTAGCTTATGCTTTTGAATCTTATCAAACCACAGAGAGCAAGCCATGGAACATATTTTTAAACTGAAAGCCATTCCAGCTACAATGATCAGCTTAAATGGGCAGCTGTGATCTGCTTAGTTTCTATTTGAATAACCAAGTGTCTCTTCCTGTCCTTCTTAACTCTGCTGACTAACTGGAGGGCAATGCCAGATCGTATCAATGAAGGAGAAAAAAGCTTTTCTTGGGTGATGGTAAGTTATTTTAATTTCACTGGGAAATAAACCATGTACAGACACCCCAGATCGAAGGGCACCTGGTATGGCTGGTAGACAGCTGGTGTATGGACTATTGCTGGCAGCAGAAATGTCAAGGTCCATCTGTCTGCTGTAGCACTCATAGAGGAGCTGGAAACCAAGAGATAGAAAACTTCAAACTGAAAGAAGAGAGACTGGGAGATTTCTGGAGATAAGTTAGCTGAAAATGAAACTTCTTTTGGTCACAATGTTACAGAGCATAGAGTGCTATGACTCATTTACTGGCATGTGGTTCCTATAGCGTACAAAATACCCGATGATAAAATAGCATATCCAAAATGCAAATACAGAGAGGAAACTTTTCTCCAGCACAAGGCCAGGGAGGCAGTTTTCCAAGACCCACAAAACTTTGTTGCACATGTTGGTTGTTGAGGGAGGTCTAGAAACCACGGCCTGGGTAAGTCTCTGAGCGAGGCCTTCCGCCTAGCATTGAAGCTCTTCTTCACTCTCAGGAAGTCGGGTGCCAGCCAGAGGGCTCTGAGCGGTGGCATTGGCTGTGGAGCTGAGAACTTCTTCAAAACTGCCCCCAGTGTGGCTTGTTCCACCAACCTTGGTCTGTAACAAGGCAAAGAAAGAGAACAGCAAGTTCCTCCACTCACACTGGATCAAGTCCCATTTGCATTTCACTCCTTGGTCACAGAGCTGAGAACTGTTCAAAGCAGGCAGAGCGTGGTGGTGGTGGTTATTTTTAAAAAGCAAAAGTTATCATCAAAGTATCCACCTCTGCAGTTTTTCAACTTCTCAATCAGAATCATAAACCTGCCTGGAGAATTCATGATAAACTCAAAGGAACTGACCCCTAGGTAGATTCCAGTTAGGATCATGTATCCTGCCAGTGAACTTTGTGTGGTTCTTTACATGAGTACCTCATGCTTATTTCTCTGTTTTTCCAGTTCTGCACAGATTGATGGGCACTGAAAGGAACTGGTATTTTTGCTGAGTTAAATGGTCCATCCCCCAGCATTGGTAACATAACTTCTCTCCAGCTATATGAACCTTGGGGCGACTCTGGACTACAGAAGGAATTTTGTAACCAAGTGACCAAAACAACAATTTACTTCCCTTTCAATGCTTGTAGGTATCTAGTGCTGATATGTAAAACTGCCCACCACATTTTCCTGGGAGAAAAAATATCCAGTTACATTAATGAAATGCATGACTGCTCACACATTATCTACTTTCGAAAGGCTACAGTTCACTGAATTTGTAAATATAAGTACTAAAGCACAGTATCACTTGAAGTCTGAAATAGAGTTTTCCTAATCAAGAAAAAAAAAAGCTTTCTCCAAAGATTTGGAAATGGCCAAGACTGTAAGAGGAGACAAAGCTCATTTAGAGGGTAGTCTTGCTAAGAGAATATTCTTTTGTGATTTGCCTTGCTGATATGCCTGCTTTAAGCTGATTCAAGTCCGAAAATAGGGCAAACTTCCTTACTCCATCCCAGAACTGCAACAGGAATTAAAGCTGGTATTTTTCCAGCTTGCCAGTCACCAAATGCTTGGGAAGATTACTTTAATCAAATGAACAGTGTGTCCTAAGTTTCCAAAGGGTTAATCCTACATAATCCTTTGTTTTATCAGCAAGCACAGGAGCTTGCCTAGCTTGAAAGTTCAATAAAACAAGGTAGTAGAATGCTGGATTTATGCTCTGATAGTTTGAAACACACTTACTAAAAGCTCCTGTCTCAAGGTAGAAGTCTGCATCCATTCTGTAAGTCAGCAGAGCCTACTAGAAGATAGCAGTTTATCACCAATTTTTGTAAGTAACAATACTATATATATATATACATATATATATATCTAAATATATATATATATATCTAAATATATATTATTTGCTGGTTAGTCCAGAACTTGCAAGGAAAAGGCAGAAACTGCCTATTAAAGCTATTATTAAGTTTTCACTACAAAGCTCATGACTGTTTCCCAATTTAAAAAACCTCCACAAGGGTGTTGATTCCATCTGATCAGAGTGGGTATGTAGATAAAGAGTGCTGCTGCACCGTTTCAAATTATTTGGATCAGCTGCATCTGAACTGAGGCACATAAAAATAATAATCATAAATTCGGTTTTATTTTCTGTTTACTTCTCTGCCTACTCTTCCATGAGAAAACAAGAATGATGTGAGTCACTTTACTAAATGCTTCTGCCAAGGTCTCCAGTAATTGAATACAAGGAACAGTTCAGCGGTGTTCTGATTTTCAGAAGAGTTTAGAAGTCCGGCACTCAGATCCTGTCAGTCTTCAGGGGAAAGTGAACTAATACATTTCCCCAAGAAAGCTGCAACCCAAAATTCAACCTGAAGAGCAAACAAAATCTAATTTAAAATTTGACTTCAAGATGAATGAAAGCTGAAAATCAGTTTTCATTGGTTACAGAACACTGCAGGACCATTGATTCTGTACCTAACATGAAAAACACATAAATAAATAATTAGGAAAACTAATGCTGCTACTGTCTGTGGTCAGAAGCCTCTCTGGGAAATTCTTCGCTTCTTCAGATCACGGCAGGTCCCTAGAATCAAGGGGACAGCCTATACTTATCCTCCTGTAGGCCTATCTAATCTTGCAAGACTTAAAAGGGTCAGGGAAGAGGAAGAACAATGCTGAGGCATTCCCAGCTGTCTTCAGCCAGTGTTAGTGGCACTCTAGGGCCAAAACTGCAGCTCCCTTCCAACATTTGCACAAAAAAACTAAAGAGAGAAAGAGAATATAGACAGAAAATATTTCAGACAATGTCAGAGGGTATTCCAATAAAGTTGGGCGATTAACACTGCATGGGATGTGGAAGCTGACTTTGGACTGGACTTTTTGTTTTGGCAAAAAGGCTTTAATCTGTCCATCTCAGGTTAGCCATAGTTGTAGGACAAATGCAAGCCTGGGAGCTAAATATACTGACAAGTCTAAAAGCCCTGTGAGTAGGTTTAGTAGGTTCAAAAAAGCATTGTGTTTCTCCCATGTAATTTCTTCTAACTATTGAGTGGAAGGAAACAACAAAAAAATCCATTTCAGACCTCCGGTGTTCCAGTGAGGATCTATCTAAATGGGCAGAGGTAAAAGGAACATGAAAACATAAGCAAGTGGAACATTTGACATCAACAAGCAATAATTCAGACCTTTCAAGCTGTGGCATCCCACTGAGGAACAATTTCTCTGACAGAGATGGTGAGCATAAAAAGCATTTGCAGCAGGTGAACGAACGAACTGAAAGATATACCAAGCCCTGAGCTGAGGCTGTAGAAGTCAACATTCTGTTCTAGCTCTGCCACTAAACTTCCTTGGGATGCTGCCTCCCACCTGTGAAAATTTCCATCACTGACAAGGTGCAATGGAGATGAAATCACTACCTACACTACCATAATTTAAAGCTGTCAGAGCAGCCTCTCTCTGAATAAACATGAACAGGCAAAAGCTGAAAATGATAGTGCAGTTCAGCATCCTCTGATGCACAAGCTGAAATAGAAAAATAAAACAAAATAATTCTCCCTAGAACTCCATACTTTCCTCAGACACTGCCTGGAAAATAGTACCCTCTGTAAGTTTTCACATTGGTATGGAAAAAAACAGACCTTCCTCATACAACTGCTCCAGTTCTAGTGGTAATCTGCATTTTATGTAAGAAGGAATGCCTGTCCCAAGTGGAAAGACACCTTCTTGCACTTTAAAGTTTTATAAGTTTAAATGTCCATTGACATTAATCCAGTATAGTCAGTTCCACCTAAAAAAAAAGGTACTAAATTTTGCCCTTGCCCACTAATGGACTGTACTTAGAATATGTTGGAATCGTTCTGTAGCAGTAAAACACCACTTTTTGGGCACACTTTGTCAAATGAGAAAGAACCATCTGAGGACACCTCTGAACAAGAAATCTCTCGTTCTCATTTTTCATGCTGAAAAGATTAGCTCACTGCAAATTTGCCATTCACTCTCCTGCCTTAACAAGTGTTATTAGTGGTGACTGATAACTTTGTCATCAGTCAAAGATTATCTAACAGCAAACATACACGTATGTGTATAGTTTTGAAAATTTAAACTTGGACAAATATTGAAACTAGAGAGGAAATGAAGAACTGTATCAAGGAAAGACTGCTTCACCATGAAGACCCACACAGGTGGTGTGACTTAAACCAGTTACACGGCAGCCCTCACCAGCTGAGCATGCAGCACTTGGCAAGTGGGTCTCTAATGCTGAAAGGACTTGAGTTCACTATATAGGCAAAAAGCTGTGTTGTCTGGCAGGTCACAGCACAAAGTTCTTAAGACCATATCACTTTCAAAATCTGACCTTGTGACTCCACATGGCTCTGTCTCATGCAGCATAATCACGTGGTCACACCTGACATATCTCTACACCTTGGTACAACCACATTTTTTTATATTTTTGAGACCACTTGTTTACTTTGGTAAACAACAGAGGTAATTTTGTAGTAGTGAAACAGATAAAAACTGTTTGTTTCTGCATATTGTCTTCATTTTCCATTAGTACTCTTGCAGTTCCATGAAATTCTTGATGGAACAGCACATTCAATCAATTTCCCACAAAAATGATAGAGATGTCTTTAAGTGTGATAGATACACTTCAAACACAGCCGTGTAACTCAGCCTCTAATCATTACCTTAAGGCTTGTGACAGTGGTCTCAACCTTCTCTTCAAAAGATTTGAAAGTGGGAGAATTCCTAAGAGAAAAAGAAAGTTGAAGGAAGGAGAGTCAGTTGCAAGCTTAATGAGGTAACTTTGCAATTTCATTAATTTTCACCAGGCAAAAATAGTAGGAAAGGGTGAAGACTGTCTGGCAGCACAGGGCTGTTGACTGAAAGGGTATGAACAATCACTTGCCTTACTGTAAATCAAATCCAATTAAGGTAATCAGATGAGTATTTTTTAGTTATCAATTTGCAAAAGTTGAACCTCCCTAGTAAACCAGTGACTGGTTTGACTGTTTTCTGAATCATTATGATTCACAAGTGAGAGCATGGATCCCCATCGAGATCTATACCCAAGGTGCCCTCTAATAGCTTAGGAAGATGTGTCTTTCTTCCCTCTTACCAGCAGTTTCCCCACTGCTGAAAAATCCATCTTCCATTCCATGTGGAAATACATTCCATGTGGAACTAAACAAAAGCTTGTCTCCTCTAGTTGTTCAGTCAGCACAAAAGACTTGGACAAATCGACAGTAGGTAAAGGGATTTTACAGTCTAATATTCCCTTCTGCTTCTCTCTCCTTGCTTGACAACAGCAAGCTCAATTACAGCATGCTTTGTGCTTCATTATTAGTGAAGAGCCTCCACTGTTGTTCAGCAGGGTTCCTCTTGTTTAGTAAAGGGAGTACAAAACAAAGAGGTAATAGGAACTCCCTAAGCCCGGTACAGCATAATGAAGCAGTTACTTAATGATTTAGTTCTTAGGTTTTTTTCACCTACTGTGGTATACTGAGTTTTCCCCACATGCTTGGTAGGGAGCAGCAATATTAATATATTTAGAGACTGAGAGGGTAAAAAGAAAAGTAGATCCTAATTTTACTGAAAACATTAAGACCTTTACTTCAAGTGACATTGATATTTGGCAAGTCAAGTGAAGCATGATTACAGCTATATAGCACTCATATAAAATCCATGCATAGGTGCATGATCCAAAGGGAGTGCTAAGCGTTTCTGACATTAATGGGCTTTGGATGATGTTCTGGAGACAGCAAAGCAAATGATTTTCAGGTTCAGTAATACAAATCTGATAACATTCAACCACTCAAATACATTTCGGAACTGCTTCCTTTACTCAAAAGATTGAACCAGAGGTTAAACAGTTAATGCAATTAAAAAAAAAGAAAAAAGAAAAAACAACTAACAACAAAACCACAGATGGCCAGTCCTGTGGTCCTTATCTACATGAATAGCCTTAATTGATTGAAGTAATCTGACTAAAAACTGCAGGATTAGGATCAAAATATGCAAATCCTTCCTCATTACAATATTGAACATCAACGTAGAAAGTACAATATGAGTAGTATATTACCTCATTGCAGGCATGCTTATGGAATGGCGAATAGAATAGCTGTGGGATGATAGCAAAAGATAAGAAAAAAGCTATAAAACTGTGTTTGCAACGTGATTATAACACAGCATTTTTATAGCATGAATGCATATTAGTAGTGCAAGTTAATATAAGAGTAATGATACTCCATTCCTGATGGCAATATCCTGTCAAACTCACCTGAAATCCAGTTCACTTTTGGCACTGAAGATCTTACCATCACACTCTCCTGTCAGCTGAACAGCAATTGCATAAGGTTCAAAAAATGATGTAGAACATACCCCGGCAATGTGATTTAAAGGATACAGAACCCTGCTACCTACAAAAACATGCAACATGACAGAAGAACAGAGAGCATCTTCATATTCCTCAGATAATAATTCCTCACAGATAATACACTCTGTATTGGGTGAATACACCTCAGGTTTGTGAGCCTGAACACTGCTCATTCAAAGCAGTTGGTAAGCAGGCAGCTGCCTAGCTTTGTTGCATGTACAATGCATATGGCCCAAACAGCCCACGCAAGCTCCTAATTTTCAGAGCTTCATGCACAAAAAGCTATCTGAACAAGAGGTTACTTCAACAGAGACAACCCTCACAACTGCAGCAGTTCCTGCCCCTACTTCTCTGAGACACTTCACCCTTTCCTTCACACCTCAACATCACTAAGTGTAGAAAGCACTGTTCTCCACAGCTTCCATCCCACTTGTACATGCCACACTTTCTTCTTCTGTCCTCAGACTTCCCAGCAGCACACATATTGGAAGGTTGGAAGACAGCGGATGGGTTCTCCAGAGCAATCAAAGATCCTCTTCTACACCTCTATCCCTGCAGCTGGCTGCCCATCCCAACCTCTTGAGTTAACTTGCCACATTTTCCGAGCTGGGCCACCAAGGTCAGCTCTGCTGTTATAACATCTGCTGGGAAGCATCAAGCCTGTTCTGAATATTCTCTATTTGAAGTGCAAGAACTGTTCAAAATTGCATTTGCATCTGAACATTATGATTAAGCAGAAGTATGTATTGTTTAAAAACTCCATGTGTGGTTACTTTCAGTGTTGCCTGACAGCTGCAGCTTGGTCTGACTGAAAAGAGTAAGAGTTTCATGGGATACCAGTATATGGCTGCAAACAAGTAAAGCATGATTATAACATTAAAAACAAAAAGAGAGTGCTCATACATATAAACAGCACATTTTTTTTCTAAACCATACAAATTCAGAGAGATAATGTGTCCATAAATAGACAAAAGCCATTTTTTTTTCAGATTCAAAAATAGGTGTGGGGGGAAGAATAGTTTGGCAAGAAGGAGAGAGTGAGAATCACATAAACCATTTCTGCTGTAAATATTTCAAGGCTTTGCTCAACTCAGGTAGACAAGAACCCATAGCAGATAATACAGAGTTTTCATGTTCAATTTTCCACATCATTTTTCAGATTTATGAAAGATTGGCGCAAACACTTCAGAGTGCAGATCTTTAACAATTCTAGTTAATTGAAATAAGCGTGTTTGCCATGTTAGTCTCGTAACACATGACAAACTGGCAGAAAATAAGCATTTGGAAGTATTTCAGCATAGATTGCTCTTCTAGTAGCAAAACATTTCAAAGCTCAGAATAAGAAGATTACATTGCGCCTAATTAAATTTGCACAGCAGAGAGATGGCATGTGACAGACAATCTGAATACTGTGTGTATTTTACTGAGTTCATCTTTTATTTTCTTTAAAGAGGTGAGGATGCAAGTTATAGGAACAGTGACAACATGTTCACGTTTTACCAGAAGCCTCAAACAGAAAGCTTTTTTAAAGGCATTCATGTCACTGATGGTGAGAGATTTCAGGGGCTCAGTGCAGAGGCAAAGGAACAGAGATCTTTCATGACAAAGACTGCTAGGTGCTAATTTTGGTTTCATGCCAGAGTGAGACAGAAAGGTCAGTTTATATCACATTTTGAAGTCTTCACAGTGAAGAGCCCACATTTGGATGACACTTGGCTGGATAGAGAAGGTTTTCTTGAGCTGCCCCATGCACTGGCAATGCTACGAGGCTGGACAGACTGCACGGACTCACAGCTGTGCAAGGCCTCTCTGTTGGGTGGAGCTTACGGAATCTTTCAGCAAACATTATTCATCGTATGCTGAAGTGCTTTGAAGCATCAATATATTCAAGCTCCAAAGAAGATAAAGACCCTGTTTAATTAATTAGGTTAAGAACTTGTCTTACCTTTGGAAATTTTCCCAGGACTACAGACTTTTAAACAGTCAGCATGCACACCTCATGGCTAGCGCAGTTTTACGTTATTGATGAGATGGTAATTATTTTTTTTTAATGAATCTTCATAATACTCTGCTGGCTGAGCTGATTTTTTTTACGAAGTGTTTGCTGTTTATGTTCTAACCTCTGACAGCAAAAGACAGTAAAAGGAATGGGATTACATAAAAGTAGGTTTTCCCAAGACCAGCATTTTTTAATGCATTCATTATTTGAATTTAAGTCAAAACTACTTAAGTGCAAGGCAAACTCATTCTAGGCACTTAGTCAGTCCTTTCCTCATTACACAAACTATGCTTTATAAATGAGGCGTTACACTTCATGTAGCTAAGTTTTTAGAATACACATCAATGCTGAAAAGAAAGAGGTTACTGTGTTACCTTCCATAAAACAAATCATACATATAGAGGCACCATTCAAGGAATAATGTGTCTTACCTAATAGAATGTGATCTTTGTGGATGCACAAGAAAAGAAAAGCAAGAGTTAGAAGTATTAGAAAGAAGCAATAAAAATATACACATATATATCTGCAGCATGCCGAAGTGCCCAAGGAAAAACAAGTCATCCTCATTCAAATCTCGATGTTGGAATTCACACTACACTGTGGATCAGCTTACGTTCCTTCGAGACAAGAATTTTCACACACCCCTTCACCACACAAGTGACACACTGCGTACAGCAAGGAGAAGAAGTTGTGCCTGCTAAACTTCACATCCTCACTCTCAGATCAGGTTCAACCAACATTATCTGGTTTCCCTCCCCATGTCCTACCTTAACTTCATTAAAGAGGAAGTACAGGCTAGTTTGAAATTTACACATACAGCAGCAAATACCTGTTTTTCTTTGCCTCTTTTTGGATTTCTTAATCATCTCTAAGTTGAGGCGGGTACAAAACATAGAGAGCTTTTTAATTTCTAAGTTGACATTTTCTAAAATACTTCTTCCTTGTTTAAAATAACACTTGAAACACTTTGCCAGTGCTTTCCGGCTCACAGGAAACTTAATTAAGGCAGTAGTACTAGGAGAGTCACACTGATATACAATATTTAAAGGATGTCATTAAGGTTCAGAAGTTGAGAAACAATGAGGTGGAGTGCCTCTCCTTCATCAGTATATGACTGATGCTGCCTTTAATTACAGACACTTCAAGGGAACACCTGCATCCCACAGGGAGCCAGAGAGGTGGCACACATTTAATGAACATCAATTCAATGGTTACTCTCTTGACATCTTTTTCCAGTGTGTGGTGTGACATATTATTTACTGCACATGATTCACACCTCGTTCTGAAGAAAAGCAAGGATTTCTTCACTGATGTTTACAGGGCTCATTATCTTGTATACTTGCACTTCTCAAAAATACATGGACTTATCTGTATCTCTCATCTTTTCTCTTTTCTTCATTCAGCCCCACTGAAGCAGTGATAATTGTTCTGATTCTTTTCCACATTTATTCCAGTTCTCTTGTACACCCTGCACTGACACAAATACTTCAGCTGAAACCCCACCTGAGCTGATCAGTGCAACTCCCTCCCAAATCTTGGATATACAGCACTCTTGCAGCAAATGCTGGAATTAAGCTTAGCTTAGCAGAAGTACCATGACAGCGTGGACTTATGCTGCATTTGCAAGCCACTAGCCCAGCACATACCAAGTCCTTACCTTAACAGCAGAGCTAATCAGCTGGCTGCTCTGTACTTACCACCTCTGCATTTGATTTTTTATCATCTGTTAGTGCAGCACTTTACTCTTCCTTCCATCAGATTTTATTTTAACATCTCATTTTGAATTCTAATCTTGCTGTCTAAAGAGCCTGCATTCCTTCCCACTGCAGTCACCTAGGTGGTTTATGTGCACACATGATGCCATCATCTAAGTCAGCAGTGGAATTACTGAAGTGTAACAGACTCAGAACAGAAGCCTGCTAAATCCTGTGTCACGATGAACTACTGACACCTATTCCTTGAATGTAATTGTCAACTCCCTATGCCCTCTTCCTGTTAAAGCATTAATACCTGAACTATACTTCCCTGGCTCACTTGAAGGACTGCCAGAAGAGTAGGCAGAGCCTTATATAATTCAAGTTCCATCACAAACTCTGCCTGTAATTCTATGACTGGTGGTGATGCCAGTTTAAGGCAATTTTCTTGACAAAACCATTTTTGATATTGTCATTGTGCTATTATCTAGATGCTTAAAAAGTAACAGATGATTGCTTTCCCCTAGCACCCAGTCAACTCTGAGGGGAAAATCATCTGCCTTCATCATGCCACAAACCTCTCCCTGTCTGCACTCTTCCACCTGTGTCTTTCAGCTTCTGGAATAAGGTATCATATTCATCTTCAGAGTGAGCTCATCCCAGGAACTGAATTTGAAAGGGCTCCACGTGATCATGTAATTAAAGATAATGCATGAGACAGCTGAATGAAGGATGTATAAGCAGTATAACTGCTGCTGTCCCAATCGTCATGCATGCCTTTGTTAGTTTAATTGTCAAATAGATTTTCTTGTACAACAATGTACGTAGTCCATTTTGCAGTTTCCTTACTGCTGTGGTATCTTGTTGTTTTTCTTTTAAAACAAACAAACAAACAAAACAAACAAACCCTCCCACTTGGCATGACAATTACTATAAAAGCCATGAGCAGAGCTGAAACTGTGAGATCCACACAGACGGCTGCAGTGCAGTCCAGTAGTATTACAGGAGAATATCCAAACATTGGCAGTGTGCAAACAAGCAGGAAGTAAAGCCCCTCAGCCCCATGTCACATCTCTGCTCAACACAGCAAGAGACTTTGAAATACCCAAGCGTCTGGGCCTGGATCTCTCAGAAGAACACTATTGCTCTAAAAGAGACCTGGAATTCCCCTCTTCTCCACTGCCTTCCTCCTCCATGTCAGAAAGCATTAACAAATAATATGAGATGGAGGTGAAGTGGTAAGAAAATCTGGTGGCAACAGGCCGACTATAAGACCATTCAAAATCACCTTTGTCACAGATGGGGTAAAGAACAAAAACACCAGACACCCAGAACATATGGGGAATTACAGTGATTATCTAGGTTTTATAAAGCAGTTTCAAGTGTCTATACTGAATGAAAGCAGAACTGGGATTTGCATCTGGATGCCACTGGTGAGCATCAGCCTTAATGCCTAAGAAACAGAATTAAGCCGGAGTCTAATGTGTGTTTAAATCAGCATTACAGAAAGAGGCAAATGTAATGCATGTGCTTGATTGCTGAAATAAAATGATTTGGATTAGGAAAAAAAAAAGAAAAAGCAAACAGTGAAACAATGAATACATGCCTCCTTACAGCTTATTCCTCCAACCTTGACGGGCACTGGAGTAGGAGAAAATATTTTCAAACCAGGCCATTTAAGTGGTAAGGTTTACAGTGTAACCCCTCACAGAAATGTATCATGCCAGCTTCATCGCTGGAGTATGCACATAGTTATTCCAGATTTAGGGTATTCAGCACATGTAGCATGCCCAATTCATGCCATGCTTCGTGTAACTAGGGGACATCAGCTCTAGTGCTTGCTTCTTTGTGTTGTGTGCCTCAAAAACAAAAACAGCATGCCTCGACAAAAAAATTAAAAATAAAATAAATTTTTAAAAAAGCCAAAGCTAGTAAGTTCATATTTTCCTAAAAATTTCCCAACCACATTTGAGGTAATGCTTTTTATCACAGAAAGCTACTAGAACCAAGCTTACACATTAATTCAAAAGCTTACGGACTCAGCCTCTTGGCTAAAGGGCTAATGAGATAAATACCACCCATCTGCTTTCCAAGTGTTAGTCAGAAGCACAATCACCATGGGGTTGGGGGTTGGTACTGACAGGGAGGAGAAACAAATTTGATAGCAGTCAGTAATTAAGAGCAATATTAAAAGAAAAACTTGCTCTATTACAGCGAAGACATTTCTGCTTTTGCAGAAATTTCACACCCTACACAAGGCACAGTAATAAGACCTAAGAAGTACTGAATGGTTGGTCATCCTTCCCTCTACCTTTAGGAACCAGTGTACACATCAATTCTGATCCCTGCTGTAAGGATCCAAAGCACAGAAGCAGCAGCACTGTTCACCAACCACTGGCTTTTTCTCTGTTATGTAAGTAAGCATGAGGAAAGAACACAAGATGAAACAGAATATGTGTGTGCCACACGGCCCACAAACTCCTCATCACGAATTTCTCAAATATACACAATACAACCATGAAAGAAGGAAAGGCAGTAAGAATAAATAGTGGTAGAAAAAAAAAGTGAAAATAAATACCATAAGCAACTAAGCATGAGGCTGGAAAAAATATCATCAAACCCCAGGAAATTCTGAGTAACACAAAAACCAACGTTAGGACTGTGTTCAGTGTTTCTCATACAGAAGATCCAGAAGGCAGGAAAAGGAAGACCAGGCCTATATACTAAGAGATGTTTAAGTGTATGAAGTCAAACAGCTCTTAGCTTACGTTCATAAGCTAGTGGCAAACCACTGTCCAGATTTCCATTTTCAGCTTTAATGTGAAAACAAACATTGCAAGGCGGATAATATTGTGATGAAGATTTTCCTCATTTTTTCAACTTGCACCTAGAAAAGCGGTGGTGCTTTCACAGAGGTTTTGTTTGGCTGTATGTAAAAGATAGACTTGACTCTAAAGATTTCAGGAGATTCAGATTAAGAAATGAGTGGGGAAAAAGAAATTGCATAAAAAACCCTAAAAGTATTTGAAGTACTATGAAATGAACTAATGCAGTGAAAATGACAAGAAGGTAAATGTACACTAGTATCTCTAACAAATGAGACCCTAATTCTAATATTCAAGACCATTTATTTCATCACAAAAAATAAATCAACTCCATCAAACGCCCAAGAAGAAATTCTATAATCCTGCTGCCAAACTGAAAACTTAAGTGTTGATTTACTGTTTACAATTTCTTCTTTTGTGCTCTCATTCTGAGGAATCTTACGTTTAATACTTTTAAAGATACAACATGAAGACTGATTTTTAAGTACTTAAATGGCAATTCTTCCCCTCAATCTCCGTTATTTCCATCATAGTTTATCTGTCTCCTATGATGAAACAGATCAAATAAAAAAAGAAATAAAAAGAAAAAAAAAAAAGGAAAAAAAAGGAAAAATGAACAAGGCAGTAAGAGTTTGCTAGATAATAAAAATTCATCCTCAGGATGTGGTACTACTTTTGTTACATCTTTTGTGAAAGAGATGATAAAAAATAGCCTGAAATATTTCTTTGTTATTTATCTTTCCACAAACATATCTACAATATGCTGGTTTTTCTCAGATGATCTTTGTGTCCATAATGCACGTATGAGTAAAACTGGGCTAATAGAATCTTACTGCAGTATTTTGTTCCATTTTATTGTACGTTTCCTCCAGTTGCTAAGTTGTTCCAAAATGATTATTTATTTGTTTATTGATAAAAACAGGACTCAGGTAAAAATGTTACTTTCATTCATTGTTACCCTTTCCTTTTGGTTCAGAGCAATGAAAGTTATAAAATACTCCAACCACTTGAAATATAAGAACAGTAATGTAGACCAGAAAGAAAAGCTGATAGGCTTTTATGGTGTTTCTCCTCAAAGTAAGGACAGTGAAACAGCAGCTCCTGTACCTCATATCTCCGAACTTCTTGCTGATAGCAGTTCCTACATTGCTGATAGCTGCTGTTGCTTTTTGTCCTGCGTGGCTCAGGGTCTCATGTGTCTTCTTGTACCTGGAAACAAAAACAAAGAGCAAAAATAATAATACATACTTTAAAAAGAGAGGTTCCAATGCTCTGCAATTAATTCCCTCTTTCCTTCTTTCTACATTTTAAAGTCTCATCCACTGAAAGGCTAAGAAACGCAGTAACTTGCACAGAGCAAATCACAGAAGTGCCCACTTCCACACAGATTTGTAAATGCAGTTTAATCCTAATGCGAGCAAAGCATTCTTCCTCTCCCCGTTGCATTTAACGTCTTCCAAGAGAGTAAGCAAAAGCTGTTTAAAAGCAGAATGCTGTGATCTATTGAATACCTGCTTTATATAGTTTCTGTAAATTCACATCAAAAAAGAATACTTTTAGCAAACACCAACTTTCTGTCACAGAAGAATCAGGAAACATAGAACTCTGCTCTTTCATGTATTTACGGATTAGAAACACACACATATAAATTAGATACACTTCAAAATTATTTACTGATATTTCAGATTACACAAAACAGATCTCATATATTCCTGTGTGTCACAATTTTTGTATTTTTTAATTTTTCAGAGAAAAGGAAGGAGGCTTGATAAGAGAAAGAAAGATCAAAGAATCCAGCCAGTGAATGCATATTCTAAATTCCTTTCTGAATTCATTCAATTCATGTACAGCATATACATTCAAACACAGAATCTTCTTCATTTACTGATTTAGGATATATGCTCTGCTCTACAAAGACCTTTGGAATGGTTAATTCACATCCTCAGAGTAATCAATAAGTTTTTCTGTTCAGATGCTTTTTTTACTGAATAAACTAACTTCAAGCACATCAGAGGTTTCCTTCTAAGGAAATTATCTGAAATTCCCAGTGACGCAGACAAGCTCATAATTGGAAATACTGACCTAGTAACAAAAGCACAGCACATCAGAAAATTATTCTTTGTATCCCATGGTGTGCCTTGGCAGAGAAGAACTGCAGAAATGATCATGAAAAATTCAGAAGTACAATTCCATCAGACCTACTTCTCCTTTTAACAAGTTTTGTAAGATTGCAAATGTGTACCAAAATACACAGGAGATTAATGCAAAAATCCCCCTGCCTAATTCTTAAACTGGAAGCAGAGTGCTTTCCTCTAACTTTTAGACATATGAAAGCTATATATCCTTGTGGAGATAGGAGAAGTAAGAGAAGACCACCATTTGCAATATTGCACATCACATTTTTTTGTCAGGCCCTTTTAGCCTCGGTAGCATCTACTGCTGAAAGTCTTCTGCTGAGGACTATGTTGTAAAAACTGTAGGTCAGAAGGAAAATGCTGAGCAATGCGGTATTCTTTCTGACCATATTCTGTCAAAAATAATTTTCCCCAGTACAAATACTTCAATTTCACATCCCTAAACAGTAAAATATCTTAAAGACTGCCTAGCAAATTCTTAAACTGCCAAGTGAAATGTGTCATTCTGTGAAGGAGCTTGTACTGGAAAAAAAGTTTGAAGGAAGGATCTCAGAATGAGATACTAGATCTCAAAGAGACCTACAGTTTGTTAGGTAACTTGAATTAAATTCAAGCACTGAATCGGAATGGTAACAAAAGCTAAAACATTGCAGCAGTAAGGGAAGGAGAACTGGTTATGCTGTTTTTTTGTTTGTTTGTTTGTTTGTTTTTTTGTGTTTTTTTAATTATTATTACTAGTTTTTATGAGCAGAATACAAAGAAAATAAAAGAGATCATTCTTGTTGGGTTTCCTTTCTCTGCAGTCCTGCTGTTTCCAATTGGACACAAGATTGCAGTGCTCTTATTTCACTGAGGCCTCATTCTGCAGCTCAACTAATTTAACCTTTGTCATTCTAAGTGGACATATTTTCACCTTATAGTGTAATAGAGACACTAAAATACATGTTTATGATGCCTTAGTTAAACTATGAGCATGTTTCTTCTTGATAAGTGTTGTCTACAAAATTCTGTGTATGTATTCAATGAAGTTGATAATAATGTAAAAATACATCTAGGAACAAATACTATTTAAGCACAAATTGACAGTAAGAAGTAAAGTACTTTGCAGAACTCATTCTGAGATTTTTTTTTTTAAACAATACACTTCATAGTACATTTTATGCATGGACATGTTTATATTTATTGGACAGTACCTTCACATCTTGCCTTTGCACTGCAGGTTCCTTATACTACATAAACCCATTAACAGAAGAGTCCCAAATGCTTCTATACAGGAGAGGCATAATTTCAACTATGAAACAGGTGAGTCCCTGAAATGCTTCTGAATCATAGCATTGCTTAGGGTGGAAAAGACCTTATAGATCATCAAGTCCAACTGCAACCTAACCAAACTACCCTAACAACCCTCCACTAAATCATGTCCATGAGAACCACATCCAAATGGTTTTTAAACACATCCAGGGATGGTGACTCAACACCTCCCTGGGGAACCTATCCAGTGCTTAACAACCCTTTCTGTAAAGAAGTTATTCTTAATGTCCAATCTAAACTTACTCTGGCACAACTTAAGGCCATTTCCCCTCATCCTGTCACCTGTCACCAGTGAGAAGAGACCAACCCCGCTCTCACTGTAAGCACCTTTCAGATATTGAAAGAGAGCAATAAGGTCTCCTCTCAGCCTCTTTTTCCCCAGACTGAGCAGCCCCGGTTCCTTCAGTTGTTCCTCATACGGCGTATTCTCCAAGCCCTTCAGAAGACTTGTTGTCCTTCTTTGGACCTGGTCCAGCACCGCAATGTCCTTTCTATATTGAGGTACCCAAAACTGAATACAGTCCTTGAGGTGGATGCTAAGTACAGCGGCAGGACTACTTCCCTAGTCCTACTCACCACACCATTCCTGATGCAAGCCAGGATGCCATTGGCCTTCTTGGCCACCTGGGCACACTGCTGGCTCATATTTAGCTGACCGTCCATCAGTGCACCAAGGTCCTTTTTTATCAGGCAGCTTTCCAGCCACTCTCCCCAAGTCTGTAGGGTTGCCTGGGGTGGTAGTTGTGATCGGAACATTAACTTCATCAAAAAACACCTTTTGGGAACTGGCTGAAATGAGACTGATTGTGGCATTTCAACTAATAATGTATTTTTTTTCTGTAAATCCTGTATGTAAAAAGTCTTCCTACTAGCAAGAAAGACATGGAGACTGTATGTATGTATGTATGTTCCTAATACTTCTGATGTTACACAACGGCATAAATCCAGCTAAGACTGTTATGCAACTGGTCTTTTTTCAGCATCAACTAGCAAAAATGACCTTTGACATGAACTCCCCCATTCTCTCTAGTAATGCTGAAGGAGCTTTAAGGAACAAAAAAGCAACAAAGGTAAAAATGCTGTGCAACATGGAATGCCTGGCAGCAGAGACAAGCAACAACAGCTTTCATCACTAATGATTACCTTAAAAGTCAATCTCTCCCATCCTTGCCATAATGATGATAAGCACCATTCGTATCACCATGTCTTCATAAATAAATGACCTTTCCACAAAGCACACTTCCTTACTGTAATTAATTATGCTCTTTATTTATATTCAGAAGAGTGTTTTGGCTTGACTTTTTTTATAGTTACATTTTATTTACGCCATTCATTTGATACCTTGCCACTGTTACTATTTTAGTACTGATGACCTCCAGCATATTCTTTCTGATCTCTGGGAACCTTCTCAATTGGATGCAACACCAATAATAGGAGCCACCAATGTTCACTTTTTCATGTAATGCATTGCTTTCCTACAGCAACACATCAGCATCATGGCTATGATTCTAAAAGCATTATGCCACGTGCCCTGTAGCATCAGTAGAAATAGAAACAGACTAACTGGATACAGGAGTATCTTGATTTATTCAGTCACAGCAGGAATGCCTTCGCTTTTTGTGTGACACCTAAACGTTCTCCACAGCACACAACAATTACTTGTAGTGAATAACAAGGGTCAGATTTCATGCTTCTCATTTAGCACATATTAATAAATATTTACACTGTATTTTGCAAACAAAAAGATTAAACAGATACTTTATCAGAACTGCAAAATTGTGAATCAAGCTCATTGTGATATTACAAATATTAACTTTTTTCAGATGACTTTCACCTGAGAACTGTATCCATGAATTTCTGATCATAACTTGGATTTTTAAATAACGAATATCCCTTACAAAAAAAAAAAAAAAAAAAAAAAGAAAAAAGAAAAAGAAAAAAGAAATTGTCAACAAAACTGATATTATTAGAAGTTATCATAAAATATTTTGATATGGCACTATTACATTCTGCTGATACACTCTTTCTAAAACATGTAAAAGCAGCTTACATCCCAGTACTGTAACATACTCTGTTGACAGAGAGATTTATACCATATTTTGAATGCATTTTTACCTTCATATAAGGCATTTAGGTCAGACTATCATACGACAAAACTGTCTCACTAGCTGATTTTTACAGCCAACTACAGTAAAGAAGATTATTATTTTATTCTCGCCTTATGCTTTATGAAATGGTGTTTCATATAAAACACAGTCAAGCAGCAGACATATAAAGAGGTCAGAGAATTAGATGTTTAAATGACCAACATCATCTGCAAAATACGATGAGATAATCATACTGCATAATATTTAATCTCATCTCAACTCAATGCAGAACTGCCTTTCATACAGCAGAGTTAAATCTAACCAGCTTTCATAGGCACAGTATTTGAGCTCCTGACAGAAGAGGGCTACAAACACATCGTTCATATTTCGCTTGGCCATCTGCATATTTGACCTACCAGTGAATAAGAAAGATTTTAAAATCAGCATCCACAAAATACAACAACACATACTGCTAATCAGTACATCTTCATTCAGCATTGTTCCTCTTCATCAATGCTTGCTTGCAGAATTAATCAATTTGAGAGACTAACTTCTGTGACAGAGCTTACATAAGATGCAAGAAAATGCAAACAATTAACAACAAAAATCACGTAGAGCAGAGCCTGGTGGTGCAAGCCACATCCTATGGAGTTTGCCACTTCTTTCTTTTCAAACT